GGAACCTCCTCACGAAGCCCGGCGATTTTGAGAAGTTCCGGGAGACCGCCAAGGTGTTCCAACCCACCGACATGTCACTCGTCACGCGAAAGGGTGTGTTTCCGTACGAGTATACCGACAAATGGTCGAGACTCGAGGAGGCCGTATATCATTTGCGCATCGTCTGTTTACCTGAGCGAAAATATCGTACATCGTTTGCGCATCGGCGGAAAATTATCGTTTGCGCATCGTCTGTTTACCTGCACCAAATTATCGTACATCATATGCGCATCAAAATTCTAAACAATAGAAGGGTATACAAATGTACCTACACACATTTAATATTATATAGATAATGATAAATTTTAATATATATAGGCACAAGTTTTTATTCAATAAGCATTACAATTTCATAAATTATAATACAAATATACATATAGTTTGAGAAAAAATTATTTAAAAATAAATTTTATTCAATTAAATTAAAAAATAAAATAAATAAATTGTTGAAAAACTCAGTTGAATAATAATATTATAAATAAATACTTGGTATATTGTAATGTCCCATTATTCTTACAAAATGAAACCTGCTTATTTCACCGGTAGTATACTTAAGCCAATGTTTTTGAATATATTCAAGTTTTTGACGTTCAGGAGCCCGTTGTAAATGATTGATACCACCAGAAATATCTTTAATTTTAACATACGTCTCTGTCTGTATTTCCTTCAACGTTTCTATTACCTAAGTATATAAAACAAAATATAATAATTTATTAAATTAATAATTTATAAAAATGTCATACTTTCCAAATTGAAGGATGAGTACTGTAAAATTGTGCATATTATAATGCGAATGAAATGCCTCAGGTCCATTGGTAGTTTTAGGTAAAGTTGATGGAATTTCTGCCCACATCTCTGGTGGAAATAAACAATTTTCTTGAATATAATTGTCATATATGTAATCACTAAAATGTAATACGTCACTATTTGGAGCGATTTCGATCAACTCACAAAACTGATCAGAAACTTCTTCAGGGGAAATAAAAGATAGACCAAAGAAATATTTAATCCATTTTCCGACTTCAGTATTAGCTTTATATTCATTTCTTAGAGCTGGGAAAACTTGATTAAGCTTTCTATACCAAGCCTGTCCTAGATGGAATCGGCAACCATATATATCACATAGTGGAAAACAGTGCTGAATTGCTAAACGTGCACTCTTTTCGAAATCCACTCTGATGGATTTTGGTTCGAATACTAAGTTATTCGAATTACATAAATTGATTAAAGATTGCCATATTTCAATATAATCGTTTGTTGTTTTTCCGGTTAAAAAATAATAAGCTAAGGGTAAGTATAGCCCGTTTTTATAAATATGGATCGTGTACATTTGATAAAAATATCTTGGACAATATCTGAAGGTTCCGTCTGCTAGAATGAGTTCTGAATTGTCACATAAAGTTTTTAAATTGGTTTTACAAGTTAAAGATACAACTTTATTATCATTGATATAAAGAAATTGTTCTTTTTTAAAAGTTAAAATAGTTTCCTGAGAAATTAATTGCGAAATAGCTTCATCATATGATTTCGGCAATACTGGTAAAACCTTCCTTCGTTTTCTATATATATGTTGTCTGTAGTTGGAAATATCATTAAGCGTCACATGATCTGCTTCGGATATTGCTTTCCGTATAATTTTGTTAGGTCTTGTTGATATTTCTTCAGTAGCTTTCCTCTTTACGGTGTTTTTAATCTGAAAAAAATTAATTAATTATATAAATAAATATATAAATTAGATTATTTTAACAACATTTCATGTATACTATATATTATTATGAATATGTTATTTCCAATTTCTGATTAATTTATAATTCTTATTTTGACTTACTTCGTGTTTTTCTATCTCCGAATCCGTCAATTGGAGATGGCGTGTGTGTTCTCCGCGTATTTCTAACACCGTACTTCGGTGTTCATCAATTTTTATTGAGGCATAGCAATCTTTTTTTGGACACATAAATATAATCTCACCATTTTTCAGAATTTTCCTTTCTGTATAAAAATACTTTTGGAAAATGGCTGCAGCTTTTCCACGATTTGAATTAACGAATTTTAATTGATTCATTTTTACATGTACTCAAAAGTCAAAAAAATATTGTATAATATTATAATGTACCGATTACCGAACCGTTTACGTCTCGTGTGTCACGCGTACGTCTCGACAGCGTCTAACGAGTGTTACTATCCAGTAATCTACTATCTTTTTTTTTTTTTTTTTTTGAGGCATCGACGACGCTGCCGGAACTTGATATACTTATGCGATAAAAATGGATAATAAAATGGAAACCCGTACACTTTAGTTGTTAATCTCATGCTATATCGTATAATTATATTTATATTATATATATTTTAAAACAAAAATACCTATACAATATTTGAAAATAAGTTAGATATTTTCGCACAGGTAAACAGACGATGCGCAAATGATATACGGCCGCGGGTATACACCTTTTTTTTCAGTTCTATTGTTAAATAATATTGATGCGCAAATGATGTACGACCTTTTAAACGATCGATGCGCAAACGATGTATAACCCAAAAATAAGCGATGCGCAACTGTCTTACAAAAAAGGTCAAAAATAACAATAGTGATGCGCAAACGACAACCGGCGCTCGAGGAGACCGCCCTGCCGCCGAAACGCGAGTTTTACAGTATATTGACCGAGAAGCATGTAAGTGATGAGGACTACGTGCACGCGACGGAGGTGTGGCAACATTTCAACTGCGCGACCCTCGGTGACTACAGTGACTTGTACCTGAAGGTGGACGTTCTCCTTCTGGCCGACGTGATGGAGAACTTCCGTGACCTCTGCATGTCGACGTACAACCTCGATCCCGTGTATTATTATACGGCGCCGGGGTTCACGTTCGACGCCATGTTGAGGTATACGGACGTCTCACTGGAGTTACTCACCGATTACGATATGATACTTTTCGTGGAACAGGGGATCAGAGGGGGGTTGGTCCAGGCCAGTGAACGGTACTGTCGAGCCAACAACCCTAAAACGCCTGGGTATGATTCTGAGAAGCCATCGTCGTGGCTCGTCTACCAAGATTGTAAATATATACGACGCTTATACAATTATTAATTATATTACTAACTTTAAACCTATTCTTGCAGGCAACAACTTGTACGGGTACGCCATGGGAGAGTACATGCCCTACGGGGGGTTCAAGTGGTACGATGGGGATTTGAATCGCTCTCTAGAGCTGTTGAACGGTATGACTGACAAATCCGACGTTGGACGTATCTACGAGGTCGATATCGCTTATCCCGATAACCTGCATGACGTGCACAACGATCTCCCCTTCCTACCACGGAATGCCGTACCACCGGGCTCAAAAGTAAACAAGTTAATGGCTACGTTGGAGCGGAAAGAGCGGTATATAGTTCACTATAGAAATTTAAAGCAAGCCATTGCTAATGGACTGGTAGTGGAAAAAGTAATATATAATACATGAAATTAAATTACGTGAAATTAACCTTGATAATAGGTTCACAGGGTGTTGGAATTCCGACAGTCGGCGTGGCTTGCTGAATACATAAATTTAAATACGAGTATGAGGAAGAAGGCTGGCAACGCGTTTGAACGTGATTTCTTCAAACTACTCAATAACGCGGTGTTTGGTAAATATATCAGACAGCTCGTCATTAATCAGACTATGTAATGTTTTTGTTATTCAAATTTACAGGGAAAACTATGGAATGCGTTCGGAACCGTATCGCTATGGAATTGGTTTCGTGTCCTCGTCGAATGCGGAAACTTATTAACAAGCCCACGTTCAAACACGTGACCACGTACACCGAGACTCTGGCCGCCGTATCATTGCAAAAGAGTGACGTACATTTCTCCAAGCCTATTTACGTAGGGTTCGCCGTCCTGGAAATAAGCAAGGAGTTAATGTACGACTATCATTACAACGTGATGCGGCGGCATTACAACGATTCGATTAGACTGATGTACATGGATACAGGTATTTGTGAAATAATAAATTATTATTTGCACTCTTATATGAAACATACATAATGATTTTTTAACAGATTCCCTGGTGTATCGAGTGGACACCGACGATTTCTACAAGGACCTGGTGGACAACCCCGCGCTCCTCGAACGTATGGACACCTCGAATCTCCCCGTCACTCACCCGTGCTTCGTCGGTACGCGTAAGAAGACCCCCGGATTGTTCAAGGACGAGACGGCGGGCCGTACTATGTACGAGTTTATTGCACTCCGGGCTAAATCTTACGCGTATAAAATTGAGGGGGACGAAAAACTTGTTGCCAAGGGGATTCGAGGACATGTGGTCCGAAATCACATGACGTTCGAGGACCACAAGCGCTGTCTGTTCGAGGTCGACGGCGCTGGTGATGGTGACGAGAGCGAGGAGCTCGGCACGGACGACGACGACGATTTCGACGACGGTGACTTTGGCGACGACGATGAGTGGAAGGACGTGGAGATGAGACGGCGTGCGCGTCTGATGGCCCGATCGGTCGTCGACACGTTACACGGGAATGCCGCGGCAGCTAGCGCCGCCGCCATTGCCGGCGTGAAATTCACCCCGACACCACTTCCCATGTATACACCGTACACACCGTATAGGGAAAACGTTTCGATCCGATCGTTCGAGCACCGCGTCAAAACGATTAAGACCATGAAAATGACCCTTAATCGTTTTGACGATAAACGTGTTGTTGACGAAGATCGAATCCGTACGCGCGCGTACGGCCATTACACGCTACGCGCGTGATATTATATTATTTTCTGTCTATAAATGTGTAAATAATTTAAAAATAAAATAAAAATATTTCCATTGTTGTATTATAATTGCGTTTATTTAAATAAAATATAAATATAATATATATTGTATGTATAATAGTAAATAATACGTAAATTAATATTAAACTGAATCCATATCGAGCTGGTGTGTGTGTAATTGCCATGCCATGAGTGGCCGTGCCATGCCATGAGTGGCCGTGCCATGCCGTGAGTGGCCGTGCCGTGCCGTGAGTGGTCATAACATTCCTTGAACGGCCGTAAGCAGTCGCAGTGGTTTGTATTAGGGGGTTTTAAGAATTACGTCTAAACCATTTACGTATGGCATAAACCAGGGCCGGCGCTAAGTATTTTGCCGCCCTGTGCAGTTAATAAAATG